CACATACTGGCGCGAGTCCCGCTGCATCTGTCTAAACCGAGAACTCTCGGCAACTTACCGACATCGGACAAACACTTGAATGGGTTGGTTGTTCATCCTCTTCGTGGCCATTTGGCTATGTTTGCGTAGCAGCAACGCAGGGACCACTGATCTCTATGGCAGGGACAGGTGCTTCTGTGAATGGTCGAGCATGTTGGTGTCTAAATTACGATCGAAAGAGGGACATTCCGGAGAACAACCACAACCGACAGCACACCGTGACCGACTGTAAACCTATACATTTTAAATGCCTGTGAAGCTTTTCGAAGTTCGAAAATGGATTTTCTTTCTTGTGCATGTTTATTGCATAAGCTTAGGTCACGTGACTTGTTTGCACTATAAATGTTTGGATGAAAAGGTAATATGTAAGCTGTAACTTTTCTAATAGACGGCAACTTGCACTACCCAGCGGTCTAGACTTCAAACGTGTGTTCGATGCCAGAAGACTGCCAGGTAGCATCGTACGGAGTGGCACCTGCTCGTGCTATACCTTCGAAGCAGGCAATTCAATGACCCGAAGGGGCGTTGCCATGTCAACGCTTGCCTGCCTTCCAGCCCAGCGTTTACACGGGAGTCAGTCAGCGAAGTTAGGCGCCCCGAAATCAATTGAGTATTTTGTAATTATTTAATGTATTTCGGGAACATGTTCGGGCGGGCGCATGCACAAGCGTTCCAGTAGGTTATGTATGACGACGTGGGCGATTTACATCGAGGGGCTGGGATATCATGAATCAAGCGTGTCATGACCCTCATAAACACACGGACAAAGGAAAACAAATGCACCGGCGGGTTGGGATTCCCATTTGCCCGTACTGCTCGCTTAGGCATGGCTTCGAGTTTGGCAAGTCAAAACTGAAGATTATTTTGATATTTTTACAGCAGCGTTTGCAGTGCGCCCTTCCGCGTGAAATCCGGCGGCATCCGTACGCACTGATCTCAATGACAATTGCTGGATCGCGCTTCCCGCTCCCGCGAGTGAAGCCACCGGACGGCCATTTTGCTCGTAGACGATGTGCGGTTTCGCTAGCATTACGGAGGCTAGTGGCAACGTGCTGAAGACACGTTTTCTACTCGTTCGTCGTCATTCGTCGAAGAAGATTTTTAAGACTCGATGTAAAGGTGAAACTTGCCGTTGAGAACACGTGGAAATGTTTACGAAAGCGCAGTGCAACAGAAAATGCCACAAATCGTCGAAAGCAAATTTCGCCGGTCTTGCGGCGTGATCAAAGCTTTTTTGGTGCTCCGAAATACAGCCTCTCTGTAAGATTTTCCACTACTGATTTTATACTACTACTTTGATTGCCATAAGCGTCTAGTAAACAAAAAAAAACACGCCGCTGATGCCGCCCCCTTCTCCCATATACGGCTCTGCCTTCTCCTCCCTTCCACCCCCCTCTACCAGCACCACCGGACACTGGATCAAGCTCCTTTCAGGACCGCGAGAGCCGCAAGTTACAAATACAGTAGTCAGAGTAAAAGTAAAACGCTCCTCCAGGGGTACATACGGCTTCACGCACATTGCACTCGCAAAACGCATCCACAGGGCGCCGGAACGAATCTTGATCGGTATCCAAGCGTGCGAAGGCACAGAAGCGCAGCACTTCGGCGTGCAAAGGAAGCTTTGATCAGGCCGCGAGACCGGCGACACTTGCTTTCGTCAAGTTGTGCCTTTACATATAGATTCAAGCACATTGCACTCGCAAAATACATACACACAGCGTCGATTCTTGATCGGTATCCAAGCGCGCGAAGACAGAGAGACGCAGCACTTCGGCGTGCCAAGGGCGCTTTGATCCCGTCGCGAGACCGGCGAAACTTGCTTTCGACGAGTTGTGCCTTTTTGCTGCCGCACTGAACTTTCGTAAAATTTTCCACGTGTTTACAACGTCAAGTCTCAAAGGTTACACAGGGTCTCAGAAAAACTTCTTCGGCAAATGACGACGAACGGGTAGAAAATGTGCCTACAGCACACTGCCGCCAGTCTCTGCAACGCTAGCGAAACAGCAAATCGACTACGAGCAAGATGGCAATCCCGTGGCTTCACCCGCGCTGCAGCAAACAAGCGGGGAGTAGATTTTATGCGAAATTGCTTTGTGGTCTGACAACATTCGCTGTCGCTACCGGAGCACGGTGGAGGCATCGGAGACAGCCGTACGGGCAATGTGCGATGGCGTAGCAACTTTTTTCGCCTCCTGACCATGTTATGTGGACGAACAGTTTAAACAACCTACCGCAACTGTTTGACAAAACTCTCGGAGGCCTCTGCACGCTGGCGGCAACCTCATCGAAGCAGCGGGACAAGTCCTACGCCTTCGCTGTGGAAGCTTGTGGTCGCCAGCGTGTGCACAGGCCTCCGAAAGGACTAGGCCGTCATGCGTTTCATCTTTGAGAACACTTTCAATTCTTTTTTTGATGCCAATACGCTTGTAGTCGTACTGTTTCGCGTTACACTGCTCCGCGCAAATACATGACTCAAAATGAGTTTTTTAAGTTCTTACTGGCGGAGGGTTTTTTGGTGGAACACTCCGTGTTCTTCTAAAAGAAACTGTGCCCAGGGCAATATTTTTCAAGCGTTGCAAAGGGCTAAAACTTGTTTCAGATAGCATTGACCTCAAGCACAGTTGACGGATGTTGTGCTATTAATGAAGATTTGTTCAACCTTGGCAGAATAACTGCAGTGACTTTCACAAAACTACCCCCGAGCTTCTTTGCACAAAACAAAAATTGTACCTCGGCTGCGACAAAAAGAAAAAAAAAAGGAGGTTGTAAAATGGAGTTGGCACTGCCCTTAATTGTTGCTTCATTCGACGTCCGCAACAACCTAACCTAACCTAACCTAACCTAACCTAACCTAACCTAACCTAACCTAACCTAACCTAACCAAACCACTGTTAATCTTACGCATCTTCAATTATGCTTGGTGGCGTAGATTATAAAAACTGCCATCTTATTGCCTCGCTTAACAGCCTTGGTCTCGCCCGCATGCATTGAGCTGCTTGCGTATCGAGGAAAAGGCCAGGCCAACACTACAACGCACATAAAAGAAAAAAGAAAGTCAAAAACAAATTTGGTACAACTTACAAAAAAAGATTATGGCTCAGTTCAATAGTTGTAAATGGCTTCACGCCACGCGATAACGTCCGCATGTTTCTTCGCGTTGTCACCGATTGTTTTTGTCGAAAGCGGCGTATCAAGTGACAAATAAAAATAAGCAAAAAAGGTGAACCCTGTTCACGTTTCCGTTCACGTCATGGATGAATTGAAGGTTTATCGTTGCATCCCCAGCGGAACGCAGCAATCATTGGCATCGCATCTCTCGCACGAAGCGCGGTCGCTTGTTTACATGGGGTCTTTGCCGCTCGGGTCTCTGGTTTCGTTTTCTCGCCACTAACAAGATGGCGGACGTAGTTTTCGGCGCGCTACTAGGTGGCGCTCTAAATTTCGCTTATGTCATAGAAATCAGTGCCCATACGCATAAAGACACATACATGATCGCGGGGAGAGAGTTCTGGTTCTAGCTATGGGTTCTAGCGCCGCAGCAGCCTCAGCGCCTGCCCGCCTGTCGCGCTGTGACTTCCCTCATCGACGTCGCCCGTCTTGCACAAACGCGCTATTTTGCTCCCTCCCTCGCGTAGCGGTGTCCCTCATTTCGCTGAGATCTACAAAAGCAAGTTTTACAGTCAACTGCACACCAGACAATACGCCAACCGAAAGTGATTTTCGGCTGTATCGAAACACGGCGTCTGGGTCCAAACAAACCGTTGCTAGGGGCGTTGCTATGGACAAATGCACGGAGACTCCACATGAGGCTAGATTTTTCCTTACGAGTAAGTAAATATTTTTTTTTAAAGCAACCTGGCTTCTCGATATTTAATTATGAAGATGCTCTTGTCTTCTCAGTGTCGTATTGCAACAATGAAAGCCATTTCTGAAGTATTACACTCCGCTCTGCTTTGGTAGTAGACGACACCATAGATATGCTGGCCTCTGTTGCAGCGGGCGTCTTCATTGAATTGCGTCGATAAACCAGCGACAAAAACAAGTGCATCGCCATCGCCGTAAAAACCCTCAAAATGTGTGTGTGTGTGTGTGTTTGTTTTTTTTTCTGTGAAGAATTTAGTTTAGTTTAGAGGGGTGAAAATGCCGTAAAATCAAACCACGTCATGCAGATTAGTTACAACGAAGACCTGAAGTCCATTACCGGCGTAGTGCAGACGAGGTACGGAGCACCCTCCCATAGAGCGAGTCCACAAACAAAATTTGGGATCTCAACTTGTGGTTTTCTGACGGGCGCAATGATATCTTTAAGCAGACGATCATCTCGATCGACGCTCGGACTTTCGATAAGCCATATTTTGCATCGCACCCCACTATGGATTCTTATAAGTGTCTGCAACTCATTATATTGCAAACAAATGCAATATCAGAATATCGTTTTTATTCACACGATTCAAACGACGGCGCCGGCTTGGCCGGCCGGCGTGTGGCAGACGGCATACTTCTAGCTTTCGTCGTCTGCTGCAGGCCTTTTGAGGACCGGAAGTTGCAGTCGTAAATGTTTCAGAAACGAACGATCACCGGCACACTTCTGTCGAAACATATATGACTTTCAAGCTTTCTATATCTGGGATTTCTAGATGTTTAAATCCTACTCCGGATTTTTGAACAGTCGGGTTTTCGTAGCGAAACCCCCTAGCAACGGTTTGTTTGGACCTATGACGTCACACTTACGAAGTCAATGACCGGAAGTGGCTGATTTTATTATGGGATATCTAGCTAATAAAATTGTCTATATTTATAACATTAAAATACTTCTAGTTAAAGTGAGTTTATTTTTTACTTTTAATAGTAATGTTTGTTGTACATTAATATGTATATATAATTTAATAAGCGGCTATGTGTGAACGCGCGGACGAAGCCCAAGACGCAGCCTGGAAAGCAAGTTGCGTGATGTCTTGAGGAAAAGCATGACTGCAGGACTACAGTTTCAAGGGTGGCAAACATGACGGAAACAGTTGACATGTGTGCTGCCAGCAAGGTAAACGCAGGGGATATGCGTTTAATAATAATAATTGGGGTTGCGGAGATATTTAAACAGCATGTAGTTGGTCAGCCATTTCAAAGATGCGACGAGTCACTCGCTGTAGATGAGCAATTTAGCCAGTGCAGTACAACTGCTAGCCTGGGGTCTTCAATGTGCCCCACGCACTAGTTGTACGCGACCGCTCGCCGGTACGATGCTCATCCAGATCGAAACGGGCAGGGGTGGGGCTTGAACCCGGTATCCTGGGTTCTGCAGCTCGAGTTTTCTCTCCACGTGCTCCGAGCTGGTGTGCGCTAGCCCATTCGGTCACCGACCCCCCGATATGCGTTTAATGTCGTGTTATGAATGACGCAATGTCTGATACATTTTTCAAGGACGCACAGTACGATGGTTGCTGGTACATCGTAACTTCTAGTACACCCTAACTGAAGTACGGTGGCTAGAAAGGGATGTGTTAGAATCGCGCAGCTTGCTCCTTGTGTGGCAAGTATTTTATTTTTATTCTGCGTGTGGCGGCGCGCTAGAATATTATAGACCTTTTTCGCAAGGGCGCCGCCATCTTGAATTTTCGTCACTTCCAGTATGGGCGAAAACATTGTTTTGCCGTCGCTACGCCAATAGAAGGCATTTAGGACATAAACGTAACCGTCACACATTCTCGTTTTGCCTCCCTTTATTCTTTTACTATTTGCACGTTGAAACGTTCTGATATTTTTTCGTCGCCCATACCGGATATGCCTACTTGACGGTCGGGGGCGAGAGTAAGCAGAAAAGGTCTATAACGACGATAGGTGGTACGCTCATCGACTCCGAGATGTTAATCGCAGGCGCCGCGCCAGAAAAGGCTCAATCGCATCGCTAGAAATGCTCGTTTGGGGTGTTCTTCCCGGAAACATTGCCAATGCGTTCAGACTATCGCGATGGCAAAACAGCAAACACACTGCCTTGTTCCCGGCTGCACCACGGGGTACGCTTCTGTGAGAAAGAATGAGAAGAAAGCTTCCCTGTTCCCAACGACGACGACAAAAGTGTCGGCAGGTTTATTCTGGTGTTACGTGAACCACAAGTTCAAAGTCAAGCATAGTTTAACTTTCAAAAGTATTCTAAGGAGCACATATCGCACGCAATACTTACTCGCGGAGCAAGAAACCACCCGAATCGCAGCGGACGACGCATGTTAGTGTCGACAGCAGTGCCACCACTGCATCCTGACCAGCTGCTCCTTCTCTTGCTTGCCAATTTTGACACCTCCCCTTCTAGCCACCATAACTGAGGTGAGGGGGATTGGTGGCCGAGTTGCCAAGCGGCCTAGTGCACACCAGCTCGGAGCACGTGGAGCGAAAGCTCGAGCTGCAGAACCAAGGATGCTCGGTTCAATCCCCACCCCTGACCATTTCGATCTGGATGAGCATCGTACCGGCGTGCGGTCGTGTATCACTACTGCGTGATGCACGTTAAAGATCCCAGGCTACCGGTTGTACTGCATTGGCTAAATTTCTCATCTACAACTGAGACACCCTGATGCCCGTTGGGGCTGACTAACTTCCGGCTATATAACATAGACATAATACAATAGACCGATCTCACCAAGTGTTTGGCACATGCGCGAGGCAGCCAAAACTTTAGTTCACAGGAGGCAATCGGCCGTGCACGAGCCTGTTCGTGCCCTGCACGCGCAGAGCTCCAGCGAGGTTGTCACACGTGCAGAAAGACTAAAGTTCCCTCGATGCATTGCGGCAGCGGTGGCGTAGTCAAACTGGCTGGTGAGATCGGTCTATTACAAAACTAAGCTTCAGGTGTTTTGTTTTTTTTTGTATTTTTTTTTTAGCATTTATGTGTATTGTTATTGCGTTCAAACTTTGTTCTCTGAACATAAGGAGCATCTCAATCCTGTTGTATTCGGCTCATTGCATAAGGAGTATTCACTGGCTGCCATAGCTGTGTGCGCGACTGCTGGGCGCATACTGATGGCGAGCTTCCGTAGTTCTTTTGAACGTGAATTCCGCACCATCAAGGTCGCCAGTCTTAGCAGCCTGTAGATGTAAGCCTGTTCTGAGCATGCGCTCTAAAGATTGCCCAGCTATGACCGCACGTTTCCGCCTAGCCCTCATTAATTTCAGCACATTGAGATAAATAATCCACAAATTCAGGACAAGTGAGGGTGCTGGGATTGAATCTGATGCAAACGTCATACATCTGCTCAGCCAGTCATCTACCCAATTGTTTTCATGTGGACAGGCATTGTACATACGTGCGGTCGTATAATCATAACAGCGTGGAGCATGTTACAAACCTCAAGTTAACAGTCTCAGACCACACTGGATAAGTTGCCCCTCCACAGCATCAAATCAATTGACCTCGCTATTTATACACTCACAAATCCTGATTTGTTTTATTCACCCAATACCAAAATAAAGGACGAAGAAAATTATGTAAGAGTACACGTGTTCATAAGAATTACAACGCACTTCAGCTGATGAAGGACGTCTGAAAGAGGGAAATTCTCTTCGACGTTGGTGCTCGGCGCCAATGGGATCCCGACTGCGTGACCTTACGGGTACATTTCTTTCTTCTCTACACCAAAAAATAAAGTTTGTCTCCATAGGGGGCGAACAAATATCCTCGAATAGAAATTCGGACAGCTGGTCAGTAGCGTGCGAGCAACATTTTGAAAGCCGTTTTAGTCGGGGGGTCCGCTTATACCATCCATGGTATCAGCCAAGACATTGCAAGGTTATACAAAGGTATTATAGTTTTTCGAGAAAAACTGCACTGTATGGAAGGTTGCTCCTCTGTGGAACTGCTCAATTCACATGTTTATTCTCTGCATGCCACAGTTCTCGTGAAGGCACGAGTTCATTCTTGCAGCAGGAAACCGTTAGAGGAAATGAGATAAAGAACAATTGATGGAAAAGCAGTCAGCAACAGCGTGCTACTGAGTACTGCTGACCGCTATCAATACCAGATGATCTCAGCACGTGCGGCGATGTGGCAAAGGCCGCACTGTTCAGAAAGTTTTATTGGATTTGATGACTGCACCACATACTTCGTCCTAAGTCTCTGGTTTGAAACAATGGAAGCAAGGATCACACCCCCTTCTTCAGCCACCCTAACTTGGTGTCAATACACTGTGGGCATTACCTTTTATTTATTTATTTATTTATTTTAAAACTCGGGGCCCATAGGTCATTAGTGGTGGAGAGCAGGGGGCATAGCAATAAATTTTTTTGGGGGGAGGGGGGGCTGGGAGGTCCATGAATTAGGGCGCGAAGAGGGGGAGGGGTGTCAAAATGCATCTGTATATTATAGCGTCGGCTAGATTTCGAGGCAAACTGAAGCCCTATAAGCGCCCCCCCTGGCCATGCCCCTGGTGGGGAGGGCCTAAAAATCACACTGAAAGAGTTAACACAATAAGAATACAAACAAAATAAGCAATTTTGTTACAAAATGATCAGTTTGGCGTATTAGTAAATGTGGTTAGTGAACACCTTTTCAAATTATTCAATTGATGGTATGTTTTACAGTAGTAGAAGTAGTAGTAGTAGTAGAGCCGTGGGCACACATGGCAGCTTTAAAGATCCTTCATTAACTGTGTGAGTAACACATTCGAGCTCGGGACGTGCAGCACCAAAAGCACCGTCAAAGTCAACGCATTTGCTCTAGAAGTAAGCCTAGAGAGAGTTGCTGTGCTAAAACTTCAGCCCATGATTATCCAGAATATCTAAACAATGTAGCATTTATTTTGTCTTAAAGTCCCTGGCAGCAGATGAAAAGAGCAGGCGTAACCAGGGAGGTAAGATAGGCACACCCCTAAACAATAAATATACAATATTTAAGCACCTCTGCATTTTATCTGGAGGTGAATTGAGTTTTGTTGCTGAGTTGATTAAATGGAGCCTGCTCGCATTCTCAGGCAGAAAAATGCAACCCTCATGCACCTTCGAAGGATAAATAAAGAATAAAACCAATAGATTTTCCCTAAGAAGCATTCAAAATATCTGCTGAAAACCAATGGAAAAGAACATTTTCTCTCTGCTGGTGTTGAGTCTGCTGAACATCTTAATTAAGGGCGATATTTTGGCTGAATTCTCAGATTGCATATCTTAAACTTGCCTCTTTATTGAATCATTAAATTTGATTTTGTTACAGTTTTAAACTATGGCAAAGGTATACAGATGGCATGTTGAAGCATCCAACTTTCTGTAATTTACCGGAGAAAACCGGCGGCTTCAAAGCGAGTTAATTGAAATATACAACTCTGATCGGTTTCATTTCTGCCTTCAACACGTGAGCGTCGCTAATGCTCAGGGTTGTCCTGAACCGCCGCCTGCAACAAGGGATGCACCGTCTACTCCCGCTGCTTCCGAAAGAGATGTTGGCCACCCTGATGCAGTTGATGCCACGGACGTTGCAGACGAAGAGGTGAACTTGGAAGACGACCAGGATTCTGATGACACACTGGACAGCGTGTCAGGGCTCTCCTCGGGTTCTTCCCCCGTGCCTCTAGAGCCGTTCAAGCCGCTGTTTCACGTCTGCTTCGCCGACAAAGTCACCAAAAGCGACGGCGTGGTCACTTACACCCTCCACACTCGTCGCGTGAGTGACTTAATTCCAAAACGACTTTGTTTGGGCACGCACGCTGTCATGTTGCAGTGGTCATGCGCTTGGCAAACCAGGCTTCAACTTGATCAAACGGTCTCTGTCAGAGAGGTGAATTATTTGGCACTTCATTGAAACGGTTCCCGCTTAATTTATACTTCGTACCACCCTTTGACGGACCTTGAAGGACGCTACAGGCCATTGAAGCCAATCCAGTATCATGTAAGAGTCAAGTGACTGAACGTGCCCCGCACAACTACGCGTGGGGCACATAGTAACGTTGTACGCTCACGGTGTTGGATTGGCTGGGATGGCTCGTGGTACTTGCTGTGGTTCATTGTAAGGTAAAACAGGGTGTAGCGTGTAGTTTGGTTTTGTGAAGGGACTGTGTGATGCTTGCCAAACTGTCTTGATAAGTGTGATATGACTGCATGCATATATCGGTTACTTTGTTTTCTTTTGTTTTCTTAGTTTGGATAAGCCAAGGGGATGTTTGCTTCTTATATGGAGTGCAAGTTTGTCTGCTTCTTGCACAGGGGTTACGGTGATGTCAGAATGGTGAGCTCTTATTGGCTGACTGAAAAAAATAGTGGGTAGACCTCAAGGCCTCTAGCATTATGGTCTACCCGCTGTCCTTTCAATCAAAGCCAGTCAGAGCTCGGTGTCATTCTGACGTTACCGCAACTCCTGTGAAAGAAGCAGATAACCATTGCTCTTCGCATAAACAAGCTGCGAGATTTAACTGAAAACAGATTCACTCCATCTGCTTCTACCGATGAATGACTTCCTCTCTTAGACATAATTAGTTGTCTGAGCTATATTCTAGAAAAATCTGAAGCCTGTAAGAATGTGTAGTTGCTTTCGTGATTAAAAAAATATGAACTTTTAACTGCAACGTTTTCAACGGGAAAAGTAAAAAAAGAAAATGTAAGCTCTAAGGGTTTAGGGGCTAAACCAGGGGTGGCCAAACTGACTTGGGCAAACTTTTGTCCAGAACATTGAACGAAACTTGAACTACTTTCAATCTATCCGAGTCAAATAAGTCCATCTGTACATAACCCCTGGGCTAGACCAATGAAGGACATCTAGCATGTCCCATCATTTTGATCACCTAAGGATTCATAGTACCTTGCCTTGGAGCTGTCTGGGAACCATCAGGGTTGCTATTTTTAAGGACATTCACAGGCTTTATTTTTGCGTTTTCTCATGCAGGCATGCGACGACGACGGCACGAGTTATATGGTGCAGCGACGATACGAAGACTTTGAATATCTGGAGCACTGCCTAACCACGTCCAACCGAGAGCCTGGCCTCATTGTGAGTTTTACGAGTTCGCTTCAAAGAAGTAGAATATATCTCAACAATGAATTAGTCTTTATGTCGATACATTTCTCAGCCACTTTAGTGCTTTCCTCTGGATTTACGTGACGGTTACTTCCTCTTCTGTGCTTGCTTTAAAACACAAAGGTTTGAACCAGGAGGCAGGGTTTATTCACACGAAAGCAGTCAGGAAACACTATTGGGAACTGCATGAAACAATGCTTTCATTGGAAATGTCATCTTATCTGCACTTGTTATTTTAAGAATTAAATGGTGTGAGGGTGAAAACCAAAATGCAACTGTTTGTCCTCTGTATTTGCTGAATTATATGTTAATATTGATAACATCCAGTTTTAGCCTCAGTTTCATGAAGGTCCCTGTCAAGTTACGTAAGCCCAAATACAACCTATGTGGCCCCCTCTACCGAGAAAAAAAAAATTTGCAGCGATGTGATTGGCCTAAGCCATTTTGGAGCACCTTTCAGAGCAGCCAAAACAATGTTTTGGAGCAGCAAAAGTGGCCTTTGGAGCAGCCAAAAGAGTGTTTCGGAGCAGAAAAAGTGGCTTTTGGAGCAGCTAAAACAGTGCTTCGGAGCAGCAAAAGTAGCTTTTAAAGAAAATATTCTTAGAAATATTAAAATGTTTGTTTCAAGTGCTTGACAAACAAAGGACACTTTGCTTGCCGCAATAAACAAATTATTGTCGTTAGACCACCTGGGAGTCTTTCAACATGTAACTGAAATGCCAATGACATGACACATTTTGCAATGCTTTAGTTGAATAATGCATGCTGTATATATGTACCCGCTATAGGTAGATAAGAACCAAACTGCACATATTGAAATTTATTTGAAAAGGACCAGCTAAGTAGTAAATACCACAGCATTAGGTTGACTAGTTCTATAATGAATGGAAGCTGTCTCCAACTGATGAAACACGTAACTACTGCAGTGCAATGAAAAATTGTCGCTCGAGTGGAGATGGCTGTTTGATCTAAACCATGCCACTCCGCTCTGTCGCCAACTGGTTCCCAAAATTGCATGCAGAATGTAACTGTCCAGCATACGACAAAAAAGCAGTCCAGCGGCACGTGCTTGCCAGGCTGACAGGCAAGGTACAAATTAAACACACTGAAAAAAAAAAAAGAAATCTGAGCACATTGATGCCAGACATTGCGAGAGGGTCAAAAAGTTCTCGGAGCGCCTTGTGCAACGACTGAACTCGAGACAAACAAGCGCGCTGTGCGGGTTCAGCGTGCAGACATTGCCTTTTTTGTTTTAACTCACTTCATCAACTTTCTTTCGCGGCAGATCTTTCCGTACTGGGGTCCCTCTCGAACTAAAGCCTACCGAGAGAAACCTAGGCAATCAATTCTCCGACACAGCAGTCTTTGAGCTACAGGTAGTTTTGTAGTAGTGTATTAAACGAGAACAGGAATGTTGATGAACATGCGGCGGTCCTTACGTCTCAGTTTAAGAAGCGCCGCGCAAAAACATGGTTTCGTTTCACAGCATGACGGCATGGCTGGTACCCAGCACGCTAGCGTCGGAGCGTCTGCACACGCAAGCGTCTATCGCTGATTTTTTTTTTTTTTAAGACACGAGACAAGCGGGAGCGCGAAACGAGAGACGGCAAGAAAAACCTTGCAAGACCGAATGAACGATTGATGCAGGGTACTTTGTGTCGGGCGGCCGCTTGCGCCACCTAGCTTACGGTACTCAGTTAGGTTTCGGTGTTCAAAGGCGACCGAAATTGGTCCTTTGGCACAGGCTTGGCACAGATTACCCATATTTTGGCAAAATGTAGCAGGATGTAGCAGGGTTAGCCCCTTGGCGCAGTTTGGTGCAATTGGCGCAGCAATCACATCACTGAATTTGCTGCTCGAAGTTGGAATCTTTGTTTTCTGTGCAAAAATTGCCAGTTGAGAACCGGCTGGTCCGGCTGTCAGTCACATGCGTTGACGACGCAGAACTTTATATGTAGTTTAAATATTCACGCCATCTGAGGCACCCTTTCATAAAAAAAGATAGGTAATTAAATTTGCAGAGATAAAGTTTGCAACCACCAAGACATGTATAAAAATAAAAAGTCCAAACACATGGTTGTGTTAGTGAAACACATCCACATGATATACGCAGTCTCCAATGTCGGATTGCCTTGTGCCTGCCTTCCGTTTCCGATTTGAATGTTTGTTGTTTTTCCTCTTAACTGCATGGCTGTGTAGCAGAAAATATGTTGAGTGGTGTCTTAACGCTGCCTGCTCTAGCATTTCGTGTACTAATAAACCAAACCAATGATTTTTTGGGGGTGACTGATCCACGCAGGAAGTTGTATCTTTCCCATTTGAACTAACAAAGTGCCCATGATGTCACGTGTGAGTCTGGGCATTTCTGAGCAGGGGACGTGCATGTATCGAAAGAGGCGAAATAAAATGGTTAATAGGCTAGTCGGTACATAACTTTGGCACTTGGCATTGCGGTGCAGGTGCCCCCCCTCCCCGAGCAGCCCGCCACAACAGTTGAGATGGTCCAGACATTGTCGCGAAGGCAGCTGGGCCCCAACTCCAAGGCTCTGATTGGGGACCAGTTTTCCCTGGACTGCGTGCGACTCGAAACGTGAGGGAGAGCCCAGCTATAGCTTGTTTTTCTGCTTCTCTTCATGCTTAGTTTCTTACATTGCATAGTAATTTAGTTATGTGGGCTGAAAAGCAGAATATTGTTTTTCTCTCACGGGCTCACAAACGCTGTTCTTGTGAACCCATGGGCCTTCCCCACAGTATCCCCCCGCCCCCTCCCCCCGGGTTTCCAAGCTCCTAAATTTCCCCAGCTGCCTCTGCTCGTATGTGAGGTGTTTTCTTTTTTATTTTTACACTATTTTAGCATATCTGAGCCACCCAATGCATAGCTAATTACTCACCCAAGGTATGGGGGGGCCTGTAGGCTTATGCATTGCTTTGTTGCATCATGCCGAGACTTGGAAGGCTTCCTTAGCTGTCAGCAAAGAGAGGTACGGGTACCATCAAAATCAAAAAGTTTGAGAACCCATGCTTTTTCTGATTATAATGTGGCAGAACAAATTTTTCTGCTTTTTCTCCTCTCATCAATCCTCATTTTGAGATAAATGTTTAAGTTGCAATGTCAAGAGCAACAGTACAGGTTCCAAGTCAGACAGCAAACACGTATAGGCTCGACTGGCTTTTATTTTTTCATATACAGTGTTACATTTTGGGATTGCGGTGAGAAAGGTATTTAGAATTATATGTCACAAGTTCCACGTTTGAAGGGTCTTGTTGATTGTGGAAATCAGGAGAGATGTCAAGACTGTCATGTTCCTGGGATTAAGTTTTTGTTTTTTTATAGATTCTGGATGCTTTTCTTTTTCTTTTCTTGTGGAGCAGGTATTTGGAGCTTCTTCTTCGACACCCTGTCTACGGAAGAGATCCCGCCCTGGAGAAGTTTTTGATCCAGAGAGAGGTATGCAGGGAAGTAACATCGTTCTTCTGTTAATTTTACTGAAAGTCTTCTAGAGTGTAGTGCATTCTCTGAGGGTACTGGTTTCGGGCCTGCCCGAATATGCCTCGAGTGATCAACTGACCCTACACCACTAACTTTGTCTTTATGTTTTCAGCCGGCCCCCAGGGTGAAGGTGAAAGACGGGCTCTTTGAGCGGCTTGCTAGCTCCCTCGAGACTCGCAAGGAAGACCACAAGGTATGGTGTTTGCAGACACAAATTTACAAATTTCATGTTTTGTGAGTTGTGGTTTCCTTAATAACGTCTTCAGCCCGAGGCTGTGGCATGTGAAGGTGGCAAAGACAGCCGATTTCGACATCCGGTGCATTATGTCTTCGCCAGCTTACCTGCATGTTGACCACTTTTTCGGTGGCTTGGTAAGCTGGATAAATCCAGTTTGCCGAGCAACATCACCACAAAGCAACACACGATGCATTTTGTGAAACAATTGTCTTTGCCACAGCAGTCAGGGAAAGGGGCCTACTTCGCTCAAAATTTCAATGCAACAGTTTGCAGCAAGGACCCTGTATGCCTGGAATTCTTTGCATAATCATGGATGTATTCTCAGTATGTGCGGTTCACTTGTGTGTTCCTTCTCGGTTGGGGGCGGCGGCCTTTAGGACTGCGAAGAGTTCTTTCAAGAACAGAAGGAGTTTGTAACCAAGTATGGAGCTGCCATCGACAGTGCCAATGCGGCAAGTATTTTTACCCTTTTAATTTGTGTTTTTTTTGCGGGAATGACATGTTTTAGATTACATCTGTATATGGGATTTCTCTAGAGCCCTACACGGATAACAGTTCGGGCATCCAATCCGCACCTGCGGACCTTCTCTCCGTGTCCGAACTGCAGGCACATTGTTCTTAAATTTTTGCAATTGCATCCGATCCGCATCCGCATACTTTGTATCCGCATCCGAACAGCATCCACAAAATTTAGAACTGCAACCGACCCGCGATCTGCACATTTATTTGACACCATAAAATCAAGCGTAAATAATAAAAAAAATAATAATAAAAAAAACAACAGGCACCTGGATAGTGTTTTATAAGCCGTTTGCTTATCTTTGTACAAGAAAAAAAAAATCAAGGAGCTTTTTGAGTTAGAATAGAGCGAAAGTAATTTTACTTTATTCTGTTTTATCATATATTATTAGCGACCACTCTTCCAGATACACTTCGCGTTGCTCGAAAGATGATTGCAGTTATGAGATTGTCTTGGGAGTCTGCGACACTCTGCCCAAACAATGCGCTCAACAGAAAGAAAAAAAAAATTTTTTTTTCGTTTTGTAGCATTTATTATTTAGTAAACGCATATTTTCTAAACATCACTCATTACATTGGGTGATTTTATTTAAGTCAAACAATAAAAAGAGGGAGAGGCCAAGTGGTCACTCACTGCAGCGAAGTATTCATATATATGTGGTATGATGCAAATACACTATTTGGAAAATATAAAAAAAAAAATAATGGCCACACCTATTGGTTTCAGTTTCAAACATGAACCTGAAACTACGTGCTTCGAACCACATGCTTAGCAACACCTTGGCAACTGTCAAGAAAAGGAAAAAAAACGCACACACACATTACGTTTCACCTGTTGAGGTTTCTGTGTGGAAACAGAATATCGTCAATGATGGACGGATACATATTGATTCGCCTCTCTTGAATTACAAGGTCCACTTATGAGAAGTCTCTCTCCTGGCGCACTTGATGCTGGGGTGGCATCCACAAATTGCAATACAAGTTTGAAATACGGGAACTCATACTTTAGTCTTGTTGTTGGAGGATTCTACTTTTTTTGTGGCTCATTTGCCAGAAGAACGTTTTGGGCTTATTATGCCTGAAGAACGTTTTCCGCTCTTTCCCTGCGAAACAAGAACACGCTTTCCCTGGGACAATTGATTGATTTCCGTAATTTTTCTAGGGACAGCATATTTGGCGAGATAGAGCGCTCTAAAGCAATCTTTGCTGAGAATCAGGTATCTTCTGACATAAAAAACAATGTTTCCCCGATTGGCACCTTTTTTCTAGATGAGTATTTTGCTCCTTCAAATATTCGATGATGCACTACATAGCATCATTCACTTATTCACTCCACACTCTGCGGTCGTACAGGTTCGTGGGCCGCCTCGGCAAAAATTTAAATCCGGACTCGCTGATATCCGCATCCGCAGCTCGTGGAATGTGCATTTGATCCGCAATATGCCAAACCTGATTCATTTTTTATCTGCATCTGCCAGTTGGCGGCGGATATCTGCGGATGATCCGCGGGTAATCCGCGGATGTGCAAGGCTCTAGATATGTTAATGCTCTTCTTCTCTTTCTGTTTTGTCATCACGATGGGTTTTGAACCTCAGCGGCCCTAAGAAAAGTATGATGTGAAGGTTTCCCCCACCTGGCATAAAAACATGTACTATACAATGAAGAAATGAGGACTCTATTTTGCGGTGGGAATTTTTTCATTTTTAAACATCCGAAATTTTCTGCGTGTGTACTGCCCTGTGATGCACCCCGAACACTAATAAATTGTTTTGCTCAGCTTAGCTTATGATTGATTGATCGATTAACAGCATCTTTATTGAGCTTTAGGGTATGGTCTTGCACTTACGACTTGTTAATGAATACCAGTGAGATGTGCAGTCAGTGCCATGCAGTCTCAGTTCAGTGCCAAGAAAGGCGTCCACCTATTTTTCCGCTGAAGCAAAATTACCATTAAAGCACGATTCTGATCATCCTTTTCAGTCACCAAGCAGATGAAATACAGTAAAACCTCGTTATAACAAAATGGGATATAACAAACTAATGGATATAACAAAGCAATCATAATTCCCTTTGCTTGCTAATAGTGGGAAGAAATGGACAGTGGCTATAACAAACTAATGGTTATAACCAGTCTGTCGAACCGAAAAAAATACGGGTTCGGTTACAGTTCAGGTTCAGGTAAATTTATTTTTTTCCGGTTCAGTTCCGGTTCGATTAATTCGATCCGCGAACCGGTTCGCGAACCGGTTCGGGGCGCTGAACCGGTTCGCGAACCGGTTTGGAAATTATAAATGACAAATTGCAACCATCAAAATAAATTACAAATAAAACATCCGAAATCAGCACATACGAAACGGGATACATCGTAGTGTAAGGCTCAGGGATTTCTACCAGGAATGGTTTCTTTATGTGCACTCAAAGGTTACCTCACCGACGTTTACGCATTCGGGCTTCATCTAATTGGGTCCGACGCAGTAGCTGTAAAATCCGCGACCTCCTTACAAACCCACTTACAAGTAGAACTCGCTAACTATCCTGCCACCTCGACGTGTAAGCAATTGAAGGAACAGTGGGGAGAACATTCAGCTTTCTTTATTTGAACTAGCCTTCGGTAACTCAAATTAGACCCTTAAAGAAGTTTTCATTAAACAAGATACGGAATATGAAAAACACTTCACCGAACGCAACGCCAGAAGGACGTAATAGGATAAATATTAAAATAGAAGAGTTCACTGTCTCACAAACATGCTAGCTCCTAAGTGCCTATACGAAACCGGATGCATTAGTATTATCAAACTCTTTTCTTTTCTCATTCCGATGGAAGCAAGCTTCAAGAACTCGCGCGTTCTAGAAACGTGTTATGAAATGAGCACACAGCAGCATTTAGAATTTACGATATTGTAGGAAAATGAAATCCCGTGACGCGATTTTTTTTTTTTTTTGCACAGCCTTCTAATTTTTTTTTTTCCGTGCAAGCCGCGACCAGCGCGATACTGGTTCCTATGTCAAGATTCATGGATGCAGCGTTTGTCAAGATTTATGGATGCAGCGTTTATATTCCTAAGACTGAGTGGAGAAGAAAAATATGTAAGCGAGGTGTGTGTCAGTTGACGGCACTTAAAAAACAAATGGCATTGATAGCACATTCATTGTCAACAGCGCGTGGCCGAACCGTTTTGACATGAGCCGGTAACCGTTATTTTTTTTCCGGTTCAGTTCCGGTTCGGGTTCATCGCGATAACAATATAACGGTTCGGGTTCGGGTTCAGTTCCGGAAAAAATACCGGTTCGGTTCCGGTTCGACACCCTGGTTATAACAAAATAATTACGACCGCTCCTTCAACTTTGTTATAACGAGGTTTTACTGTAATGACCTATAATTGGTTTTCCAGGAGCACTACAGTCAAGAGCAGATTTAGGGGAAGAAGGGAAAGGAGAGGGGGCGATCTCCCCCTTTCCACGCCCTTAAAGGTCAACTTTTGTTTTGTGAAAATAATTGATATACACCAACCAAAGGTTTAGGTTTTGGTGACATAGCAAATAATGGGTCAGCAAAATAGATGGCAATGTTTCGGCCGTAAAGAGTAATATTTAAGCAGACGCCCACCCCCCAACCATGCCTGACCCATATATCCACCCCTGACTGCAGTGCGGTATACACGTATACACTCGCTGACTCTTGAGAGCATAGGCTCGAATACTGGACACAAGCTGTAATGGGAGGTATGCAAACTTATAAACACAATTTCGTATTCTCTTTCTTGGCAGGCCTTCAACGATGTCGTCTGTGCCAGGCAGAGTAAGCCACTGCTTTTTCTTTTTCTTAAAACTTTTATGGGCAAACACATACACACATGTGGAGCCCTTGACAGAAATGGAAGGCTGCATCTGTCTGTTCTTTGTACTAGAATCTCTTTAATTTAAACTCTTGGGGTCTAGAAAAGTATATTGTTTTACTTAGCAGAAATTTTCTTTATCAGAAGACCAAAAAAAGGCTCGAGGTATACCTAAGCACTTATGAGTTGTGAATGCGAAAGCATGAATGTCGTTCTTGCATGCATTCTCGTGAAGTGGGCGAGCTGTGCTGACATCTGCGTGTAGCCGCCCCAGTATACATCCCAGTGGGCTCTTGTCTGGGTGGCCCGGTTGGCCCGGCCAGCCAACTGTTTGCTTCTCCCGTCACGCTCTGGCGAGGGCACGTAGCACTATGGGCTGGCTCTTCTTGACACTAACGTGCAACGACCCTATCCTGCATATTTCGGCTTTATTTAGCTGTCGTTTTGTGTGGCTTTTTGTGTGGCTTTAAAGCTGAGATGCCTCTGATTGCGACTCACTTCGCTCTGTTAGGAGAGGGAAATTAAGTTGCTGTTTGGCGCGGCTGATGGCGTTGGCTCGCTCCATGGGAAAGTTAATGCTTTTGCATTAAAGGGGCACATGGGCCTAAATTTCGAAATTTTTGAAAATATTCAGTTTTTAATTTTGAGGTTTTTGGTTTTAGAAACTAATTATACACCCTTACACTAAATTTGATAACCATACGCCTAATTGTTATGTTGATATAAAATATTTTCAACACATTGTGAGGCAGTAACCAAGTAAAGGAGTTCAATGTTTGAATACATTTTTTTCAGTTCCACTTTTTGCTGGAAATTTCATACGAAGAAATCTTTTGTTCGAAGGGGAAAGTATTCTGATACCAGAATCAACATGTTTCTGAACTGAAATTTACTGGGGAATCGGGCTATCTACATTTTGTTTTAAGTTTAAGCCCTTAGTGATAAAAAACGATGCTTTCAAAAATTGACATAGGACAGATATGCATCTCATATTTTGAGGCAATAACTTTTCCAGAAATATTTACTTTTGAGTTATTCAAACTAGATAGCCCATAGTCCCATATCCCCCACTTTATATTCAAGCAGTCAAAATGGTACTTAAAAGCTTCATTTGCATGTCATAGATTTCTTAATGAAGAGTGACGCATCTTCCTATGCAGGTATATGTAAATTTGTCCTAGAGAGCTTAAACTTTGCACAGTACACCTACACCTGAAGTTAAATCTCCCCTACAAATTTCATTCCAATCACTTGAGTAGTTCAAAAGTTCAACCTTTAGCCAGTGTCCCCCTTAGAAACAAAAATTGAAATAGGGAAGCAAGTAAACATGTTTTCCACAAGTGCCTTACCTATTCACCAAGTCCCCCTTGAAGTGTTCCTGCTAAATTTTTTTATGCCTAGCTTCAATGCATTGTCCGATTCTTCTGTTGCTTTTCTTTAATAGCTATTTCACTACAACTTTTTTATTTAATCTTTCTTTTCAATTTTTTTTAGTTAATTTACACTGTGGATGTCTCTCGTTTATTTTTACATTGTTTTAGCTCTTCATTTAGCCTTCACTGGGTTAACCTAGAGGAATGCGAAGATTGCTTTTAAGACGTTAATCATGGCTGGAGAAAGTTAGTAGAAAGAAGGTTACTGGAAGGTGTATTTGATATGATGTAAGAGCAATAGATTTGGGACCAGGTTTACGCTTGGAGCCTAGGAGAGACGAAACAGCTTGGTACACGCTAGAGTTGAGCCCGGTTCTATCATACTCGGGTATTTCGAATTATTGTTTATATCAAACAGTCCGAACATCCCCTTGAAAATCACATGTAATAGTATAGGAGCGTTGTCCTTTTGTATCCAAGCCCATAACGGGGACACTCAATATAGCGCACGAGAAGCCAGGCCGCCCATTCATTTTCCTGCGATCCGATTGCGCCGGTGGCGAGCATATCGCTTGCGTTGCGTGGCTGGCCGACCGCCAAGCCAGCATACACGCGGAAAGATACGCATCGAAAGAGCAGTTGTAGGAAAGCAGAGACAATGAATCGCAAAAAAAAAGTGGAGGATGGCAAAAGCAAGGGGAAGGGCACGCGCGCACGTAGGGAGAGCAGGGAGTGCCCGCTGTTGGAACGGTAGCCTGCGCCCTTTCCCCAAACACCGCTGATACTGTGCGACTCCCTTGCCCCAAAATAAAATAAGCAAAAAAAAAAATATTTTCGGCAGTTGAGTGTGTAGACAACAACGGCTCTGCCATCGCACTTTAAACACCTTTGTTTACCTTTTTCTTTTGCCGTTGTTGCCTTGCCTGTTTTTCTTTTCTTTTTCCTTTCTTTTTTTGCTGCCTGAATTTAGTGAGCTTTCTTTTTTGTTGCTTGCTTAACTTTTGGTATGGATCAAAAGATTTTTTTTATGCATCTTGCTTTTCCGTATTTTTTTCGTTTTTTCGTGTTTTGTCGTTCATGCTCTGTGGAGGTCCCGGCCAGGTGCGCGTGTAAGCGCGCCAGTGTTTGCGGTCTCCACCAACTACACTCTACTGTATTTAGCGGCTCTTAGATGCCCTATTTGGTAAGCTCCCGTTCGTCACGACCTTCGGTATTAGCAGAGATGCTAGGAAATTTCAACTTGAACTTAATTTAACATCTATTTGTATATCAAATTATTGACATATAGAACTATTTTAGGAACCCCTTTGAATTTGATATATCCGGGTTCGACTGTAGTAACTCTCTTGGTAGAAATAGTGTAATGCTGATTGCAAGGAGGCGCTACAAAGTCTTCGAAAGCATGTTGTATTTCCTGTAGTTACTTATCTTATATATAGGTCAACTCCAAGAAAAGTAAAACAATATTTATTTTTATTTAGGAATACTACAGCTCTTTATTGAGAGCCATAGCAAGAGTGATGTACAATGTTAAAACACACAGAAAAAGGGGCGTGCACACAAGAGCGGTCTAAATAAATACACAGAAAAAATACACCAGAGTGTGAGCATATGCGGCGTGTTGTTCGCGCCCCGAGTGGGAAGTAAAGAGAAATAAAAATAATAATTTATTTTTCTGTCACGCTAGCATGGGCCAGAACAGGGCTCCCCCCCTAGCCACATGGAGCAAAGTAGGAGAAGGTGTTGTTAGTTTTTGTAAACACCAAGTCACATGCTCCACGAGACACGCTTTGTGGAGGGGGGCGAACTCATTGACGTGCTGGCGACTCCTTGCTGGACAGCAGAAAAGAGCGGAGCATCATCCAGGAAGGCTGGCTTGACACCGTTCATGGCAAAGACTTCTGTTTAAGAGTCATGGTTTTCGCCGTACAGCTGATACAAGGTCCGTCATAGGACGGTGTCAAGCTTTTCTTTAAACCTTCTTCAGGAAAGCGTGTGAACACGCTGACAAGTCCTGGCTCGCAAAGACTTTCTGGGAGCTTGGCTACCAAGGTTGCATTGGTTGTAGCTGCTAAAAGCTCTGCCGCATATTTTCCAGGTAGATCTGTGATGAAGGCAACTTCAATGTTTTTGGTGCTTCAAAGAAGTCTCCTGGGAAATGGAGTGGTACGCCATGCACAAACTCTGTGGAGGTGCTGTTCAGGTCTTGCTTGAATGCAAACCGAATGCCGAGAAGGACAAGAGATAGATGGTCGACCCATTAAAAACACCTGTCTCGTGCAGTGATCGCCGCCTTGAGCTGCCAATGTAAACGCTCCGCCGCTCCATTTGCGGACGGGTGTTATGCGGCAGTGTGGACATGGTGGGTTCCGAGTAGCTGCGTATGAGCAGCGATCAAGGCACACTGGAAGTGGTGTCCTTTGTCCATTGTTTTTGTAGATGTGCAGCCGAAACGAGTGATCCAGGTCCCTACAAATGTACTTGCGACTGTCTCAGCAGAGATGTTGGCTTGTGGAATTGCTTCAGGCCACCTAGTGTAACTGTCAACGCACGTTGAAATGTACCCGAGTCCTTGATATGATGGGGGGGGGGCCTACAATGTCAATGTACACATGACCAAATCGTGCATCAGGTAGCGCAAATGCTTTCAACGGTGTTATTGTATGCATGTTCATTTTGGAACGCTGGCACTGAAGACAAGCCTTTGCCCAGCTGCGAACATCAGCATTCCTTTTCGGCCATACATAACGTGCTGTGAGCAGCTGCTGTGTGGCCCGAATGCCTGGATGGCGGATGTTGTGAAGTCAATCGAAGATCTGGCGTTGCAGGGCAAATGGGACGAAAGGTCGAGCCGTTCCTATTGACATGTCGCATGCTAGAGTCATCGACAAGCTTGGAAGTGGTATGTCCCTGAACACCTAGGATTATGTTGCGTTCCGAAGAGCTTGCAATTCTGAGCCTGCCTGTTGTGCTGCAGCAAAGGTCTTGAAGTCTACCAGGGCCATGGACGAGGAAATGGCTTCGATGCGAGAAAGCGCATCGGCCGCACTGTTTTCTTGGCCCTTGACGTGACGGAGGTCAGCCATAAACTCGGAGATGAAGGCAAATTGTCTTATTTCCTGTGCTGAGTAAGTCGTGTGGTTGCCACGGAGAGCATACATCAGGGGCTTGTGATCTGTGAGTCCATGAAACTGCCATCCTTTGAGGAAATAGCGCAGATGTCTCACAGCTAAGTAAACAGTGAGCAGTTCTTGTCCAAAGGGACTGTACCGCGTTTCCGTGGGCTTGAGTTTCTGTGAAAAGAAACTAAGCGGCTCCTAGACTCCGTCCTAAAGCTGCTGTAAAACAGCTCTAACAGCTGTCTGGGATGCATCAGTCAGGAGGCGGGTAAATGCATCAGGAAGTGGGTGGACAAGAAGTGTTCCATTGGCCAAGGCCTCTTTCACTGTGGAGAAGACTGATGCCACCTTTTCGCTCCACTGCACTTTTGATGAAGGTCCTTCCTTTGTCAGGAGGTCTGTCATGGGTTGAAGGATTTTCGAGCAGTGTGGTATGAATCTGCAATGAAAATTGACCAGACCTAGAAATTC